GCAAGAAATGTCACAGTAGTCACAAAAACCCCTGCATACAACTATGATAATCACTGCAACCATACGGCCGGCTTCGTCCAGGTACTACATACCATGATTATTCTTGGCTTTTGATAATTTCATTTTATCCATTCAGGAAACATTCAAATACCCCGAGTAAGAAACCGAGGAAAAATGCAAGTCAAGGTCGGTCATTTCAAAGTATGACTCACATTGTGTATGTGGCGCTTAACAGCGTTAAAGGTACTATGTCCCTTTTGCAGCCAACCTCAAATTCTGTAGAACTTTGCAGGAATTATGAATATGTCACGTATGTCCTATCTGTGAAATTTAAACGTTAGCAGTGTCCTAATATTCAAATTATGCAAGGAAACCCGTTTACTTGCTAGACTTTTTTTCTTCTTTGGTAATAACATACATGAAAAGAGTTGTAAAGGGTACATGAGCATTTGTCTACATCAATAACCCACTTCTTGTGATGGCCAAGATTAAACTGATTGAATCTTTGCGCAGCATAAAACGTATGACCATTCGATACAATTGTCTGAAAATCAAGACTATTACTTTTGGGCTCTATAGCCCTCAAGTCGATTTGACAACTAATATTCGTTATTTTCCCACTTGAAGACATTTTCAAACCCCACCTTTTTTAGGGAAGTTCTAAATTAGTATTATCTTTCAAATGCAGTTGGAATTTAACTTTTTCATTTGTTTGGCCTGCAAATGGGACAAAGTACCTTTAACCTAGCTTTGGTGGTTGGTAAATATTTAGAGGATAGCTCAGTCGGTAGAGCAGTGGTCTCGTAATCCAGTGACCCGGGTTCGAAACCAAGGCGATGCGCTAGTGCCCTTTGGTAATGCATTAATCCTCATTACCAGGTCCCTCGGAGAGAACCTAACGCCATCGCCCGTATGGTTGCTTACTTATAAGCATTTATGCTTTCTTAGCAGACAGGTAAAAATAACCACCACCATTCATTCAAATACAGACGAACCCTTTTATAACGAAATTGAGTTTAATGGAAACAAGACGGCTCAAAAATTTAACTCTTGTTTATAATACTTATCACACTTAGCTTTTGATACAGACATAACTCAAATTGTTTGTTCTAACCAGGGTTTTAACACTGTTGTTCTCGCTGCTGATGGTCAAAATACGTGGACGCTGAAATGACTCGGTATTCCTTCATTTCTTATAATACATTGTATATCTTTAGGTATGTGTATGATTTCATATAAACAAAATGTCTTAATTTATTTAGAAAAAGTGTCGAGTCTGTACTTTCCGTAGTTAGTTGTTTGTATTTGACGATAAAATAATCAAATACTTAAACATCATAACTATTATTATTGTTATCATTGTTATTATGATGATGACGATTATCATTTTTATAATTATTATTATCATTCTAATTATTATTACTATTATCCTCATAATAATTTGCAAGAGTATAATTTTTTTTACCTGACATATTTAATTTATCGGAATAAAGCAATTTATTTTTCATCTTATGTATCGAGGTATTGGCGATTCGAGCACACACTTTCGGAAATAAAGCACACTGAGTATCTTTTCTTCAATCTTATAATGTTTCTATAAATAAAATATGTAAACGTCCTGCAGGAAGACGAAGAAGTAACCACAATGATTCACATCCATGTTTTACTTCCTACCGTCCGACCGAGGATTGAGAGAGACACACAGGTGAAGCAAGCAATGGTGTACCTCGTGAAGTTAGTAAACAAAAGGGTAGGAAAGGGCCATCACACAGACCCTCTAGTGCCACATTAATGTTTCCATGTTGCATATATATATATATATATGCATCAGGTTTATTAATATCATTCGCTCTTTATTGAGCATCATTTTGTCAGGTGGGTAAAGATCTAATCAAGAGTATAGTTGGTTGTTCTTGATTCATTTTACTTTTCTTTTCTTCTCTATGTACTTTTCAATTTTCTGAACCTTGTGACCTCTGATTGACCTTATTACAAATTTGAAAGTCATGAAATCTTTTCTTAGTAACTTTTTACAAAATATGTCACTATGAGACTTCGTTTTAAAATTAAGGCAGACATCCCTCGCCGCTCCCCACTCGCTCCATTTGAAATATTCCCCAAAGCCCCCCCCCCCCCTTCGTCTTCTACCAGTAATGACTACTATTTGAGTTACGTGTCCTTCTGTCCGTTCTTGATTTCTTCGTTGGAAAGGCGGGAATTAATCACAGCCATAATGGCTTTAAATCTGTTTGAAATTAATCAGTAAATGCCCTTCGGGCTCTCAGCGAAAATACATACAAATTTCAAATTCGTATTAAACACCACCCCCTAACTGACCACGTTTCGCAAGACTCTAATGTCCCTTTTAATACGGAGCGAAATGAACCTTAGAGCTAAATAGATCAATTGCTCTTAGTCCACACCTTCCTGGTTCCCAACAGATAAAGGCTATAACATCTTATTGCCTTGCCATACATTACCCCATAACATCTCATTTTCTTGCCTTAGATTGCCCCCTTAACTGATCATGTTCTTTGACAGAGCTTTGCCCTTCTTAGGAAGGGAAATAAACCTGGGAGTTTAAGATCTTGTGGTTCATGTTACGCTTTCCTCTCTCAACTCATTCCACTTCCGCCTTCAGAATTCCCTAAACACAACGATGACCAACATCATACCCAATACCCTGTTTAGACTACATAACAAACTATGTGAAACTCGTACAAAGACGCGTCGTATAGAGTATCATTGTATTGCAAACGCAGGTATCGTTACAAGAATTATGTAAAGAACTAGTTTTGAAGAGATCAGCTGACATGACAGCTGGCCAATCACCAGTGCGCGCTCATGATAAGCCCCGCTCAATTATACGTTTTTCGTACAAAAGAACGTTCAGACAAGAACTGAACCATGATCTTTTATCGGGTTTTCGTTCGAAACGATTCTCAAACGTGCGTTTCGCGAAACGACGTTTCGTTATATGACATTCAGATTAGAACAAAAATGATTACTTATCGTATATCTATATATTTGTTGTATGAGGAAAGGAGGAATTTTGGTTGTCTGAACAAGGTAATATATCACTTCCACCTCATCGCAAACCTGGCCTCTCTTGCACCTCCAACGGCCCCTCTTGAAAAATAAAAAAATCATTCCATATTCTATTCCACAAGATATCGATTGATATGATTTCAATTTCATTTCCTCTCAAGTCTGAGAAGTCATTGCCTTGTGCCTACAGGTAAGAAGTCACTGACTTCGGGTCAATTTCCTTCATACTGCACTCATCACACGTGCCTCATACACAAGATATCTTACCTGTAGGACTGAAGTACTGTACAACCCAAGGCAACTACCCAAGATAATTACCACCAGACTATTAACTCCAGAAAACCTTCCCGATATGATAATAGAAATTATTCCTCGACGACTAGCCCCTTGGAAATTAATAGTGAACGAGGGTAACTAATTAAAGAGGTAACTGCCAAGAGGTAGTTGTTGTAAAGTAATTCGTTAGTTGTCCGGGATAGTTGTCCGGGGAGTAGTAGTCCGTAGGTAATATATCTAGGTGGTATTGTGCGACGGTGCTTTTCATGTTATTCGGGGTGGTTAATTGCGTCTCATGATCATGCAACGATAATATTCTAATTTAAATTTTATTTATTTGAAAATATTATAAAGACTCGTTGTAGCAAACTTATTTCACTGTAGTTCTTTTATTGTAGCGTGTATTTTAACCTTGTATCCTGATATCATAAGCACATTTTATGTTATGACATAATTGATTGCAGGGCTTTTGCTTTTTGTAGTAGGTAATTGATTATTTCTTTCACGATTTTAGTACTTATGAACACTATCCCAATAATCGCTGTTAATCATCAAACGCAACCACTATTATGTTACTTAGTTTAAAATAAGGATAGAAGCTAGATATTTTATTTGGCAACGAACAGACACGAATACGAGGATTCTGCGCACAACAATCCTTCGTACTGGCAAATCTTAGGACGAATTCATTTTCATAACTGGAGCAATTACACCAACATTCTGCTACCAAAATCTTATAAATCCTGACAGTTAACCACGATGGCATGATCGAAGGACATGGCCATGGACTTCTCTCTTGAAAGTGGATAATAATAACCTCCCCCATGTTCTTATCTCTTTCATGTGCCCCTCACATGGATGGAAACATTAGAACGGGGCATAGCTTTTAACATTTCATCCCTCCTCCTACTCATTTTCCTATCTCATCCGCTCCCTACCTTCCGTCTCCCTCTATGTATCGCCCTTCGACTCAGCCGATCCTAATCACATCTGAAACGACATGCTCTGCAGAAACTTAGCGGCATGAATAATTGAATGTGCAGGGAGAGATAGACATGAAGGGGGTCTAAAGTGAGGGGGAAAGGGGTCTAAAGTGAGGGGGAGGAGGGGGACAGGAGGGGTAAGTGAAGAGGTCGGACAAAGCTATCAAGAGAGTAAAGAGGAAATGACACATCAGAAAATGAAAAATAAGAATGGCTAGGATGATGATTATATATAGTCTAGTGTTATATGCCGCTGGGCGGTAGGAGACAAGGAGAGAGAAAGGGAGTAGGAAAAGTGCAAGGTAAAGAAGAAAATCAAAAATACAAAAAGATAGAGACAAAAAGAGAAACAAAGACATATAGAGGAGAGGGAAAGACAGAATGACAGAGGATAGGAGAGGGGAGAGTAATGAAGAGTGAAAGGGAGAGAGGGAAGAGAAATGAAGAGTGAAAGACAGAAAGAGAGAGAGAGAGAGAGAGAGAGAGAGAGAGAGAAAGAGAGATAGAGACAGAGAGAGAGAGAAAGGGAAAGAGAGAAAGTAAAAGAAAGACTGGGGGACAATGTCAAGTAAATATAGTGACCCCTAACACATGCGCCAGTTCTTTCTTTACTTCGACGAATTGCTGTATCTAGCTTAAAATGATAAGATATAAAAGTGGGATAATAAAAAATATAGGTTATGTTAAACTTACCACTATAGAAATAAGCCGTAGGAGTACTGACAAGGTTCCCCAATCCATCCTCTGCCGTTACCACCAATTTATAGGACCCTCCTAGAGGAACACTGATGTTCCAGCACCCAGAGCCAGAAGAGATGAGAGCAGCGTGGACCTGGACCTCCGGATGGGTCCTGTTGTCATGGTTACGCCGGACCAGGTGGGCGCGGTAAGTGAAGTTGGAGAGTGCAAGGGATGTGTTGCAGAGGCAGACGCTAGCAGACAATAGGTCTGATTCAACATCACAAAGACACGGCGCCGGAATGACTATGAGGGGTAAAATTAACAAGTGTCATTCAAACATCATGAGCCGAAGAGGTTTTCTTCATTTTCCACCTTCTTTTAAATTTCTTACTTTAAGATAACATGGTATTAGTTGTTCATTGACTTGACTCTCAATCCAAGGGTTGATGTCACTAATGTCATTTAGAAGGCGTTAATCACCATTTTGTAACTCTCCACCCAGGTGTAAATGGGTGACTGGCAATTGCTGGGGTAATAATAAATGCAGACCCACAGGACAAGCAGTATTTATACAAATGTGGCTACACTGGGTAAATATGAGCCAATTATTAGTATCATCATTATTCTTCTTCTCATTATTATTGTTATCTTCATTATTCAAAGTTCTTTTTGATATCTAATTCTCTTTCAGCTTGTCCCTATTTCTGTCTAAAGTGTATACATCTAATTACTTTTCCAACTGATGTCTTTCGTCGCTATCGTTCTTCGTGTGAATAATTGCTCGTCTCTTCCAGTTTTGGTTCTGCTGATGCAACACTCTTTAATAACCAATGCGGTTTAAAGATGTTTCATTATTCAGTTGACAGGTAGGGATGAAGGTCAGGTGGGTAATTCATTTTCAAGGTTCTCCCTTGTTACAATTTGTATTTTGGTACAATGGAATAAAAATGAAGAGAGTAGGATTTACTGTTGTATAAAAGTTAATCCAAACTGTACGAATTGCAAATTCATATGAAAAGGGCAAAAGGAACAAGGCGACTAGAAAAGACCAAGTTTTTTAATGAGGTTAATATCTCACCTGGTGTTTCGATTGTTGTTGTAGCCTCCGTAGATGCCATGAGTTCGGTTGACAAATCGTTGGGAAAATCGAATTCCGTTACCTCCTCTGACGATGTTTCTATAGTCCAAAGCTCGAGGGGAGGAGTTCCTTCAACTTCTTCTCCCGTGAGAAGATCAGTTTCCATTTCCTGCAAATCGGTTGCAGGATTGGTTTCTTCAGTCATTCCTAAATCTGTAACCGCTTCAATGGTCCCGATACTACCTACCTCTAGTGGAGATACTGTAGTTGTCGGTAAAGTGCCGGCTTCGGTCGTATCGAAGAACGTCTCGTCTAGCCGCGTAGTTGCTTCAAGGCTGACTGGATCAAACGCAGAGGGCGTCCCATCTGTGCCTCCGTCGAACAGTGTTGATACTTCAAGAGGTTGCTCGTCTGTTGACAAGGCTGTGGATTGTGCACTTGGCAAGGATGTTTGCATCGTTTGAGAAACGTCTGTAGGCATGAGCCCAGTCGGTAAGTCCGTAACTAAGGGCAATTCTGTGACCAGCGAGTAGACACTCGATGGTTCCGTTGTTTCCACCTGAACAGACGTCATAGGCATATCCGAGGGATTTCTGGTAACAATTTTCCCGACTGTAGTAAGATCCAAACTTGTTGTATCGGGAAGTTGAGTGTCTGTATCTTGCGAAGTATCATACTTTCTTAGAGTAGTAAAAAGAACTGCCATTGGAGTTGAAGAATCTGTGTCAATAGCGATACCATTAGTTGCACTCGATTTAGAACTAGTATTACCTTCCGTCATCACGTCTATCGTCGTGACACTGTACTCCGAAGCAACTCTTGGTGAAGACCGCAATCCGGGCTCTCCAGGTATAGGGGTTTTAGAAGGTTCCTCTGAAGTAGTCTGATTCACTTCCTCAGAGGAAACACTGCTTGATGAGACCCTTGTAAGAATGGATGCCTCTGAACTGCTTGGAGTTACAGCCCTTTGGCTGGTGTTACTTGGACTAGGCGTCTGGTTTACTTCCTCAGAAGGAACACTACTTGATGAGACCCTTGTAGGAATGGATGCCTCTGAACTGCTTGGAGTTACAGCCCCTTGGCTGGTATTACTTGGACTAGGCGTTGACCTATTGCCCAAGTTTGTCCTTTCTATTGTAGTCTTGGTTTCATCCTGTGAGGATACACTGACAAGGGGTTCGAATGTCTTTGGACGTGTTGGTAAATTAGTTGTTGTATTTACAATTTCGCTGCTGCTTTTCGTAAAGTTTTGTTCGGAATGTGCTTTTGTAACTTCTAATAATGAAGATGGTGTAGTTCCTGTGCTATAATCAACACTGCTAATTGTTCTTTGGGAAGGACTACTGACTGGTAATCCAGTTCTAATTTCAGTTGCTGGCGTAGTACTTATGATTGGGTGTCCAGGAGTCTGGCTACCGATAGGCGGCGCTGCACTGGTCAGCGGTGAGGACCATGTTGATTGCACAACGGTTAGTATTGCTGTAGACAAAACGAGAGTCATACGACAGGAAAAATATGAATATCACACCTTTAGTGTTATGAAACTTGAACAATGCCAGCGAATTTCTTTAACAAGTCAGTAAATATACAAAGGGTACAACATTTTGCAGTGCAAAAACCCTGTTGAAATATGGCGATATCATCAAAGGCTCTTTGAACAAATAATATATTTGCGAAGGAATGGGAAGACGTGAATAGAGATTATCATGAAGAATTTTGCAAAAAAGAATTTTGTGTTATTAAATAGATTTTTAAAAATGTACAGAAAAAGTGTAATAATATCAAATAAGGATTAAGAACGTGGACTGTGTGCTCGCCAAAGGCAGAGAATATATACAGCATGCTAACTATTCTAGAGTAAGATGTTTTAGAAAATGTGATTGTATTATATTATCTACCATGTAATAGTTTCTCTGTAAAAAATAATCAAATTAATGGCATTGTGAAAACTCGAAGCACATGAAAAAAAGTGAGGCAACTTATTATTTTAACACGCTGCATCTTTCCAAATAATCTCTTTTTCAACAAAGTCGGACAAATTTATGCACAATTCAATTATGAACTATTTTACTGCAAAGTTTTTAATTTGTAACAATCTAAGTGCGTCCAATGCAAAATACATGAATGAATCTATAGTGATACGGATTTGTGACCAAATAAATATCACTAGAATTTAAGCCGACTCACCTCCAATCCCAAAACACAGACAAAAAGATTTTGTTTTAAAGATACATACAGTACATGAAAATAACAACCGTAGGTTATAAAGATGTTATCTCAAGTTCAGCGGTCACACCAATCTCGGTCACTTCCTGTTTTACTTTAGCTTTCAAGGGGTTAAGGTCTGAAGGAGGAAGTGACGTCACAATTGCTGGTAGTATATTTTATAAACGTAAGGACGGAAGTCCGAGTTCTTTAGAATCCGGGATATTCCGTGTCGCAGTACTTCAGATAATAGAGATTTATATTACTATTATCCATATCCTTCCATGTAAGGCTGAGTTAGCCCAATCTCCGAAAATATATGTATTGTGACCTATTTTAACCCACTATGTAGAAATGAATACAAAATTTGCTTTCGTTTAGAGATTCTCTTGTGAATACTAGTCAATCATTTCGCTTTGCAAGGTTTACCCAAAAGGCTCCGTTTCTTGTACTTAATTTGTAAGTGAACTCGATGATGGGAGCAAATTAATAAAAACCACAAAATTTGATATTTTGATGTCCGAATTCAATGAGTAGCTCCTAGCTCAAGAATATCTCAACAAATATTTAAAAAAACAAACAGATATTCTAACTCCTGTATATAATGCATATATTTCAAAGATTAGAAAATTATCTGAGAGTGTATAAAACAGTAAAAGGATAATATAAACCAAGACTACAATGAAGTACCACATCAATTCTGCTCGCATCAGCAATAAACTATTATATCCGAACGTGCACATTTTCTAAGTATATCATTTACTGTCAAATGGCTATTTTGACAACTGCATTACTTCCATGCATCTTAGGATATGAATTGAATGGTCTCAAATGACAGGTTTCAGTTATATCAAAATCAAAGCCGACAATTGCACTTTCGGTGCAATGGCTACAGTTTAAAAGAATTAGCGGCGTATGTATCCGTTACAATATTTCAAATCCTTGGGATTCCCACTTCTTTATTTTCAACAGCCATCTTTTTTTCTTCTTCTGTTTCAATAACTTTTAGACGGATGCACTTTCGTTAAAGGTACTTTGTCCCATTTGCAGTCCAAAAAAAATACAAGGTTAAATTCCAACGGCATTTGAAAGTTAATACTAGTTAAGAACCTCCCTTAAAAAAAAAGGGGGGGGGGGCTTGAAAATGTCTTTAAGTGGGAAAATAACGACTATTAGTCGTCGAATCGACTTAAGAGCTATAGAGCCAGTAAGTAATAGTTTGATTTTAGGAAACATTGTACCGAAAGGTCGTTCGTTTTATGCTGCGCAAAGATTCAGTCAGTTTAATTTTAGCCATTACAAGAAGTGGGTTTATTGATGTAGACAAAAATTCTCATGTACGTTTTACAGCTCATTTTATGTATGTTATTACCAAAGAAGAAAAAAGCCAGTCAGTCACTCAATAGTGTCTGACAGTGAGGTCTAGCAAGTAAACGGGTTTCCTTGCATAATTTGAATATTAGGACACTGCTAACGTTTAAATCTTACAGATAGGACATACGTGACATATTCATAATTCCTGCATAGTTCTACAGACTTTGATGTTGGCTGCATAAGGGACATTGTACCTTTAATTCAGCTAAGTTTTCAAAACAATGGCTACCTGATCTGGACGGATCAAATGTATTTGAGACTCCAGCAGTGACATAAATCAAAAGAAAAGCACTTACCAAAGATGTGTATGATTAATTCCATGACTGGTGTTGATTAAATCTGTAAAATGAGAGAGGCAATAAGAGAAAAAAGGAAGAATCGGTTAATTGATAGCGTATGCGAGTAACATAAGTATTCAAATTAAATGACAGCGAGTTAGCAGGAAAGGTTAGAGAAACCTTCTAAAGTTATTCACATTTAATTCAACGAGTTGCTAACAGTGCAAAGTGAAGCAAATAACATTACACCTGTCATGTTCCGGAAAAAAATTCCCTTCAATATCGATCAAAAAGGTTGCACACATTTACTGTTGCTATGTCAGCTGATCCTCTCACAATATGAGGTGAACAGACTAACATTAGTCAAACAGTATGACTTGGTCATGAATTGAAAGTATTTCAGTAGCAGGGGCACACAGTTTAAACGGGAGAACTGTTTTTTCTAAGTCTTGATCAAGCATTTCTTCCAAAATCCATTTTGCCATGCAGATGACAGTCTCACATATCACCATGTAAAATATAGGAAAGGGAATCTCTCGTTGCAAACATCTGGCGACAGTGATATATCTTTAAAGAATGACCATTTTTGTTCTTCTTCAAGGATTTACTATACCTTCACATTGTCTATAACACCAATAAATACTTTATTCTAGTCCGCCCCTTTAATAAGGAAAAAAAGGCCCTAAACTAGTTTTGACCCAAACATGCAAGATAAAAATAAACTCAAACATACAATAAACTTACATTACTTGTTGCTCACAATCGTTATATTCCAATAATACAAGCGAGAAACAACTTCTTTCTTTACGCAAACTATAAATCCACATAACTGGTATAAAAGACTATGACATCAACCTCGCCTGCTGGGCAGTTAGGCAATTACTTCTAAAGAGATCGCCCGCCATAAAACGTCCCATTGACGAATATAAAGAGTCGATCGAAGACATAAACAAACATCCAATCACGAAACTCCTCCTCCAATTAGCAATTACATTCCAACAAAACTCATTTGGGAGAGTCAAAAGTTTCCATTAAACAGAGAATCCAAGTTATTTTCCAAGGGATATGCGTGCTTTTCCTCTCAAATGCGTGTTTTTTCCTCTATACTATACAAAGCTCAACCTCGACTTCAAAACAATTTGCCATCTTGGTGAAAGTAAATCTATTATTCCTTTCTGGATACGGCTCTAAATAGCAGCCTCACAAAGCTGAAAGGATATTCTACCATTATACCCAGACAATGGTTGAGATAAGCGGTTTCTACTCGAGCGTTCAACTCGCACGTCAATAATGCCTTTAATAGCCTATTTGGTACTGCAAAGACCAAACATGAATGGATATCGACCCGTACACGAAGATGTACGGATGGGACTATTTCTGACGACACCTAGCGGTAATTCAATAGAGAAGAGGATATGATGATCTTGGCCAACCGTGAAATGCCGTTATATGGATTCGGGGAAAAGAAGTATGTCCCGAAGCTGCCGATGTTCCGGTGTCATCTGAATTTTGGAGGTATGTAAACTTGGAAGTTTCAGTTCCGATTTCAATCACTTCATAATCATAATTCTGATTGGGTTTCAGCTAATACATTGTCATGAGCGAGGTACTCCTCTGAATGTGCTTCAACAAGCTTTTCTATGCATAAAATCAACTTGGCAATGAATGAATAAGCCTACATCTCTATGATTTAGCACTTTAAAGAAGTACACATTTCTTAATTTCGGTTAATGTATAAGGACTGCCCCCATAATAACTAAAAATGCAAACAAAAATCATAATGAAAAGCAATTTGAATTTGAAAAATGGAGGTGAACCTATTTATATTTTAAATATTTTTTTTAAAAGATTCTTTTCATTTCTTCCATTTTAAAGATAATATAGCGTGATAAAATATGATGACATGACAAGATTAGATAACATGAGATAAAAAATCAATCATTATGTGAATTTAACTAATAATTTATATAGATAAAAAAAAAAAGGGGGGGAATGAACAACAAAAGCTACATCGATCAGGGGCATCACTAGAGCATTTGAATAAAGATGTCCGACAATACGTCGACAAATATTCCAACGGGAAAATTAAGGGGGCCTCGGATTTCTCCTTCTTTTCAAAACATTTTATCATTTTCTCCAGCTAGAGGGCTCCATTAATCGAAGATTTAAAGGGGGACACCACACCCCTCACTCCCTCTAGCACCTCTCCTGAAGGTGAACGTCCCAGTGGCAGTGACCGATTACACACCTTTACTGATAATCCGACAGGTTCGTTGAGAGGTTCATGGAAGGTAACCCTTTAAAGAGAAGGTTGAGTTCTGGTATAGATAAAGAATTAATAGTGTGACTTTTTCTTCCTTCTTGCCAGTATGGAAGAAATTCATAGGCCTATCATCCCCCCCCCCCCCCGCCTGGGAAGGATTACTTTTCAATATTATTGCCCTCGTATAAGAAATATGACGAAAAATACATGGGTTGTTTAAAACACACTTTCGTGCCTCACATGTGTGCATCGGTGAGGGTGGGTGTGCGCGTATGGGTGTGTGTGAGTGTGTTCGTAGTCTAATACACCCATTTCTGTGTGCAGTGTACCTGAATCTTCTTTTTTTAACAAAGATCATGAAGATTGAGTCAATATCTTTTCGTTTTGATAATCCCGAAATCTCATAGCACCTAAACATCAATTCTCATATAAGTACATGATCATCCTTTCCCAACTGCTTCCCGGCAAGTTGCATGACCTTTCCTCAACTTGATCTTTAAATCGAATCAACCAGGCGAGCAAAATTAGATTCCACTGATGATCTCCTCTCCTTCCACTGAGCAAGATGAGTTGAGGTGTTAACGGCACACGGACAGGAATGTAATGTAAGCTGACACCTTCTTGGGTATATGGGACTGTTAGGAGCGAGAAAGGCCTCACTGAAAGCTTTTATGTGTACTTTTATTTCGCTTAATTACTCGTATAACTTTCTCTTGCTCTAGGAGAAGCGAGCAGAGGCTCCCTTTGAGCCAACATAGCCAGTGTTCAAACCCAATTCAAAACGCTGTTATTGTTTTACGCGGGGGTCATGACCTTGGAGAAGGTATTAATCATTGATAACCGAGTCTCCAGATATAGAATTTTACCCACCTGGTTGCTTATTTTCTATTTTGTATGAGCATCCCCCTTCCCTTTTGTTTTACTTACTGAAATGCTGAAACTACTGTCCTGTACAAAGAACATACACATGTACTGACTAAAAAAAAAATAATATTGTTGCCTTTAACTGATGTTAATGATCAAGAAGGCATAAAAATGAACGTGAGAGGATCAGAAAAAGTCAATATCTCCATGATACTCCATGGCTCCCTGACATTTAATTAACGTGAACAGTGCCATTCCCACCCCCCCCCCCCGAGCATAAATTCCAGCAGGTAAGGAATTTTACTTCATTTTAGTTACGAATCAATCCTGAAATAAACATTTAAAGGAAATGGCATCATCGCTAAAACAAAATCGATTATCTGAAGAGAAAACATTAGGTTGGGAATAGACGTTCCTTGACAGCCTAACGTTTTATTTCATTTCCAATTCGAGATCGAGTTGGCTCACCTCCATTAGGAAATAACCGTCAATGTTTGTTAGAAGATGTATTTTTCAAGATAGAAATAGTATCAACACGTTGTTAATTAGGGGATATTCAATTCTGAATTCTCTTGACAGGCTTGACGAATCATATCATAAAATTTCGCATCGACACATTTTACATGACAATCCATTCACTGGGGTTACATGTGTATCCACGGTAAAACTAAAACCGTCTGTAATTCTAAATATGTATATAGTTATAATAGATATATAATATCGATACTTTTCTTTTTAAAAATCACTTTTTACCTTGCGAAAAAGGAGTACAAGCAATTTATTACATAAATTCTTTCTCTCTTAGAAGTCTTACTCATTTAGAAAACAAAATACTGTATGGACGCATTTTATATGACCATCCATTTACCACGGAACACGTGTATCTATATTAGTATCAATCGATAACATGGACTATCCTCTCTCTATCATTTAACCACTCCAATCATCCCAATTCCATCTTCTTCCTAACCTCTTACCTCTCACAACCTTACCCACAGATCTAGCCTGGCTCCAAGACTAAAATATTTAACCCCTCTCTCTTCCTCCCTCCCCCCGTCTCTCTCTCTCTCTCTCTCTCTCTCTCTCTCTCTCTGTATGGCTTCCCCAATGGCATAAAGTTAAGTTTAAAATATAGACTAACCCTTCTTTCTCTCCTTTCGAGTTCGACAGAAAACGGTAATAGGGAATTTTAGATTTGCACAACGGAGAACGTGGACTGCCCTTTTAAGGCAATGTGACGTCTTTTTAAGGCACTGGCAGTGACGTCACAATGCCTTAAAAGGGCAGTCCACGTTCTCCGTCGTGCAAATCTAAAAGTCCCTAATGATAATATGGTCTTGGACGCCAGTTATTCAAGATAGCTCTAATTAGTATTAATACCGCCCTTTCCTATAGGGGCCCAGCAAGCTATGTACAAATTTAATACAACTGGGTTGAGAGAGAGAGAGGGACAATGTGGATAAGACGCCTTTCATAAGGATGTAAGCACCGAGCAAAGAAAAAACCTAGGGCATCTTGTTTGAAAGTTAAGAGCCTTCTCTAATTATATCGCACTGCTCATACACACGTTATGTACAAATATTCATGGTCTATTGTTTTTTAGTATCGGTGGGAGAGGAAAAATATTTTTCCTTATTTATTTCGCCTTGAAGCTAAGCTACGTCAGGCCCACCCCATCTCGATTCGCTGTGAGATCGATACTATTTTATGGCTCTCCGTCTCAAGTTCTCTGTCGCTTTGATATCTAGAGCTCAAGCAGACCTCGACTCGACCGGTCGTCGCTCCAGTATCGACTGTCAAGTGTCAGCCAGCATCATGACCCACATTCTCTCCATTCTAAAGCCCCTCTCACACTGAACTGAGTTATATGAGGCGAGTTGGACACCGCGCTATAACTCGGCATTAGGGCGCTTTCGCAAACGCGACGGAAGCAAAGACGACGGGAGAATTACGGCGATACAGCTCTTCCATCGTAATTAGGGAATGAACGCTATCATGGCCGTGTACGGTCGTGAAAATCAACAAGACGGAGAAAATTCTGGTTCGCGCATGCGCAGATTGTTTTTTCGCTCGCGTTACCGTCGTCTTTGCCTTCCGTCGCGTTTGCGAAAGTGCCCTACTACTCGTAAATAACTCGGGAGGCGATTCGAAGTAGCTCGGCATAATTCGTAGGGATCAGTGGTGAGATCATGCAAACCTCGACTTGACCGTTCTTCGCTCCAAGTGTCAGCCATCCCCACCCCAAAGCCCATTCTCACACTGAACTGACTTATATCAGGCGAGTTGGACACCGCGCTATAACTCGGCATTACTCGTAAAGAACCCGGGAGGCAATTCGAAGTAGCTCGGCATAATTCGTAGGGATCAGTGGTGAGATCATGCAAACCTCGACTAGACCATTCGTGGCTCCAAGTGTCAGCCATCCCCATCCCAAAGCCCTTCTCACTCTAAACCGAGTTGAATGACGCGTTTTGGACACGGCGCTATAGCTCGGCACTACGCGTATGGAACTCGGGAGGGAATATTGGAGTACCTCGGCATTATTCGTAGGGATTAGTCATGAAATCATGCAGATCTCTACTCCACCGGGCGTCGCCCCAATATCTATTTTCATGTCAACCAGCATAACGACCCACATTCCTCACATTCGCCAGCCCCTCTCGAGTCGGACACCGCGCTAGCTCGGCAGAACTCGTACATAACTCGGGGTAGTTCGGCACCACTCTTTATGATTCGTAATGAGCTCGTGCGAACACCGAGCTACCGGTCATCGCTCGATTATCGACTTTCATATTCTTATATCTTTAAGGCATCTCACTCGTATAATAGGTGCCGAGTTTACATCGGCTACAGTGTGCTCAGCGTACCTGACGTATACTCGGGAGAGATATTGGGGTAGTTCGGCACAATGTATTTGCTATTTTTTAACATGTTCTGAATACCTGAGGAGAAGCTAGGTTCCGAATCAACTCGACAAAGCTTGAAGAGGGGTTCACTTGTATTTCATCACTTTTTAGCTACACATTCTCCATACCTCTCTTTTCAATTAATCTTCCGTTCATCAATCTATATAAGTTTCTCTCTTCTTGTCATGCTAGTCTTCTCACGTTCCCTAACTCATCTATGGTTTAAAACTCATTTCTAATTCTTCGCGTTTCCTCTTTCGGTCCACAATAATACACACATTTACGCGTTCCACCATTCTATGTCATTTTATCC